TGTGTGGAGTATGGTAAAGAGGCACACCTGCCCTCTCAGGTGTCTTCCAGGGCATTGCTGCCTCCCTGGTTCTTTTCCTTGTCTAGTGACCAAGGTCACAACCAGGTGTGTGTTAGGTGAATAAAATCTGAAATGTATATAACTCAAAGTACATGAGATTGAATATTAAAGAAAACCCAGCCCAGTGCTAATGGCTCAAGCCTGTAATCCTAGCTATTCAGGAGGCTGAAATCTGAGGATCACAGTTCAATGCTGGCCCAGTCAGGAAAGTCTGTGAGACTCTTACCTCCAATTAACCGCCAAAAAGCTGGAAGTAGAGCTGTAGCTCAAGTGATAGTGTGCTAGCCTGGACCAAAAAAGCTGAAGGATAGCCCTAGGCCCTGAATTCAAGTCCCAGTAGAGGCATACCAGAAACAAGAGTTGATTATGTAGACACAGTGGCTCACACTTATAATCCTAGCTACTTGGGAGCCTAAGACTGGGAGGATCAAAGTTAGAGACCAGTCTGGGCAAAACACAAAATACCTTATCAACAGACAGCTGCACAGTAGCACACATCTGTCATCCCAACTATATCAGAGGCTGAGATTGGGAACGTTAAGGTTCTAAAATAGGCCAGTCCAAGCAAAAAGGTTTGAAAGACTCCCGTCTCAACAGAGTAAGAGAAGTATAGTAGTACATACCTGTCAGTTTAGCTAAAGCAGAAATCATGAAATAGGAGGCCAGGAACAAGTGCAGGTTAAAAAAACAAAACACCCAGGGGCTGGGAAGGTGGCTTGGTGGTAGAGCGCTTGCCTTGCATGCATGAAGCCCTGGGTTCGATTCCTCAGCACCACATAAGCAAAAAAGACAAAACCTGGAAGTGGCACTTTGGCTCAAGTGGTAGAGAGCTAGCCTTGAACTGAAGAGCGGAGGGACAGCACCCAGGCCCAGAGTTCAGGCCCCACGACCAGACAAAAAAAAAAAAAAAAACCACCCAAGATCCTACCTCAAATAATAACAAGTGAGAGAAAGGGCTAGAAGTGTGGCTCAGACAGAATGCCTGCTTATTAGCAAGCACAGGGCTCTGAGTTCAAACTCATTATCACCCTTCCTGAAAAGTAATTTATGTGGGGTGAGAATGTGGCTTAATGGTAGAGTGCTTGCCTGCATGCATGAAGCCCTGGATTCAATTCCTCAGTATCACATAAACAGATTAAAGCCAGAAGTGGCACTGTGGCTCAAGTGGTAGAAAGCTCAGGGACAGTGCCCAGTCCCTGAGTTCAAGCCCCAGAACTGGCAAAAAAAGTAACTTATTAGGAAAGTGTACGTACACCTTGAGGCAGGCAGTTGAATGAGGGTCCATTACCTGTACACTACAAGAATAGGTTTGATTACAGGCATGAACCACTGGTACTGGTTAATAATAAGGCACTCAAAATCAGGTGCCAGTGCTCAAGCCTATAATCCTAACCACTCAGGAGCCTGAAGGATTGTAGTTCCAAGCTATTTCTGGGCAGAAAAGTCTGTGTGACTCCCTCTCCAATTAACAAGTAAAATTCCAGATTGGAGGCATGGCTCAACTGGTAAAGCAAGAAAGCCAAATTAAAAGCTAGGCGCTGGTAACTCATACCTATAATCCTAGCTATTCAGGAGGTTGAGATCTGAGGATGGAATTTTGAAGTGATCCCAGGCAGGAAAGTCCATGAGACTCCAATTAACCACCAAAAAACTGGAAATGGATCTATGGCTCAAAGTGGTAGACTGCTAGTCTTGACCAAAAAAGCTCAGGACTACCCCCAGGTTCTGACTGGGGGGGGGGGGGGGGGGGAGGGGTGAGGAGGGGGAAGGGAAAGGGGAGGAAAAAATGAAAGAAAAACCAAGTTTGAGGACCAGAGTTCAAGCTCTGATATCAGCACACACAATTAGTTAATATAATAAATTACATCAATTGACTAATGACAAAAACTGTGATTATACTGTATCTCAATAGATAGAAAATATTAACATCTTGTTATGATAAAAAAAACACCCAATAAATTGGTTACACATGGATATTTTCTCAACTTGATAAAGGGTATCTGTGAAACATACAGAGATAACCTTGAATATAATTCTGAAGGACTGGGTGTTTTCTCTCTTAACAGTTCTCATGATGGTGGTGTCTGCAGTGACAGCTAAATCTCTTGGGCGGGCACACTATCACTTCTACCCATATTTGTATGGCTGTTTCGCCTGAATTATGCTCTATAATGTGAGTTGATACTGCTACCTCCAATCCAAATCCATCACCACTCAGTTATTCTCCAACTTGCCCTATTGTACATTTTATTGAATTTGTCTGTCGCATTTCACCACCCACATGAAAACCATTTCCCATAAAATTGCAGTAGTCATTTATTCTGCATACACACAAAATAGTTTAAAAATTACACTGCTAATATCACTGCTAATAATATTCTAAGTGTATTTGTTTGTTTTTTGAGGTGGTGAGGAGAGGATATTTCACGATGTTGCCCAGACTAATCTCAAAACTCCTAGATTCAAGGAATCCTTCTACCTCCCAAATAGCTGTTCCCTTAGATTTCTTCACATTTATTTTGCCTGTAGAATATGTATTCCTGAGATACCCATTCAGAAGACTGTTCAAGAGTTATTTGACACTGGACACTGTGATGAAAGTAAACCATTTACAACTTGTGAGTGGAGATGGGAGAGATGAGGGAAGGGAAGACACTGTACAAAAGGAAATGTACTCATTACCTGACTCATGTAATTGTAATCCTTCTATATCACATTACAATAATAATAAAGAAAAATTTAAAGCTATTTGAATTATTTTCTGTGTGTAGTTATTAATGTGATAGGATTTCTTGTTTGCTATTTTTTTTTAAGGCTGTACTGGGCTTGAACTCAGGGCTTCACTCTTGCTAGGCCTTCATTTTCCTGCTTTACCTTTGCTTTTTGAACTGTTTTCTTTTTTGCGTGAGGAGCAATGGTTGGGAAGATGCAGGAAGGGAAGGAAGGGAGAGGAGGCTTTTGTACACGTGACTTTAGGACATTGTAACTATTTCACATAATTAGGTAAAACCTTTTAAATCTTAATTTGTTATTTACTCTTAATTTTGTCCATTTATGTGCTGGGACATGAATCCAGGACTTTGTTTTGTTTTGTTTTGTATTTTTGGTCCAGTTGTGGGGCCTGAGCTCTGGGCCTGGGCGCTGTCCCTTAGCTCTTCTGCTTAAGGCTAGTGCTCTACCACTTGAGCCACAGCACCACTTCCGGCTTTTTTTTTTCTTTTTGCTTATGTGGTGCTGAGGAATCGAACCCAGGGCCTCATGCATGCAAGGCAAGTACTCTACCACAGAGTCACTTTCCCAGCCTGTCCAGGCTTTCTTTATATACTAAGGCAGTAATCTAGCAGAGCTGTATCCACAGCCTCTAAGTGATTTTTTTTTTTTCTTGTAGAGTTGGAAACCAAATTCACAGTTTCATCCATGCCAAACAAGCATTCATCCACACTCCAGACCCCCTAAGCAAACTTAAAGCAATAATTTCACATCCTTAGTGGGATATCCTGTAGATCAAGAACACAAAACAAAACATGAAAACCTTGAATTATTTTAGCAATATTAGTAATTTTCAACACTGTTGGCATTATTTTGTTACCATCATGTAAGTATTATACTTAAAAAGAATAAGCATACTGATAAAATTAGAAATCTGTATTTTCACAGTAATAGTTAAAAGATACGGGTATTAGCTGGGCACCAGTAGCTCACACCTGTAATCCTAACTACTGAGGAGGCTGAGATCTGAGGATTATGGTTTAAAGCCAGCCTGGGCAGAAAAGTCCATGGGACTCTTTTTTTGTCGGTCTTAGGGCTTGAACTCTGGGCTTGGGTGCTGTACCTCAGCTCTTCATCTCAAGGCGAATGCTCATGAGCCACAGCGCCACTTCTGGTCTTCTAGTGGTTTTATTGGAGATAAGAGTCTCAAGGACTTTCCTTGCATGGGCTGGCTTTGAACCGTGATCCTCAGATCTTAGCCTCCTGAGTAGCTAGGATTACAGGCGAGAGCCACTGGTGCCCGCCCATGAGACTCTTATCTCAATAGACCATCAGAAAAGCCTTGAGCTGAAGAGCTGAGGGACAGTGCTTCAGGCCCAGAGTTCAAGCCCCACAACCAGAAAAAAAAAAAAAAAAAGATACAGATATTAGAAAAAGAAAATGAAAAACTCCCTGGGGCTGTAGTTCAATGGTAGAGCACTTTACTAATGTAGCATGTTATAAGGCCTTCAGGTCAATCTCCAGCACAGTAAAAAACAAACAAACACCCCACAACCAGACTAAAGCAATAGCGTAGACTACACAGCAAGACTGTCTTAAAACAACCCAAAAACCCTTTAATTCTGGTATAAGAGGCTGAGACCTGAGGATTACGGTTTGAAGCCAGCCCAAGCAGGAAAGTCTGTTAATATTCTTATCTCCAGTTAACCACTAAAAAGCCTGAAGTGGATCAGTGGCTCAAAGTGGTAGAGTGCTAGCCTTGAGCACAAAAGCCCAAGGACAGCACCAGACCCTGACTTCTAGGTCCCAGGACCAGTACACACATGCAAAAAAGGACAACACACACACACACACATAAAATCCCTTTAGTGGTGAGGGGTAGTTAATAGAGATGGATAAAGGCAATCAAATGTGGGTTTTGTGAGTCACCTCATAGAAACAAATTTTGTTTTTTTGGGGTTTTTTTTTTGGGGGGGGGGTCCAGTCGTGGGGCCTGAACTCTGGGCCTGGGCACTGTCCCTTAGCTCTTCAGCTCAAGGCTAGCGCTCTACCACTTGAGCCACAGCGCCACTTCCGGCTATTTTCTTTTTGCTTATGTGGTACTGAGGAATTGAACCCAGGGCCTCATGCATGCAAGGCAAGCACTCTACCACTGAGCCACCTTCCCAACCCCTACATATATGTATTTTTTTTAAATGTTATTAATGGTGAATTTATCTTCTTTTTCTTAGGAACAACCACCATATCCTGGCTACAATTCTAACTACTGGAATTCTGCACGCCCAAGGGCTCCATACCCAAGTACATATCCTGTGAGGCCAGAGTTGCCAGGCCAGGTATGCTTATCCTTTTTTCCCTTCTTCTTGGGTTTGAATTCAGGGCCTCATCTTTGCTCATCTTCTTGACTCTGCTGGTATTCTACTTCTTGAGCCACAATTTCAGCCCTGGTTTGTTGTACTGATTATTTTATTTTATTTTTTGTCAGTTGTGGGGCTTGAATTCAGGGCCTGAGCACTGCTCCTGAGCTCTTTTTTCTTAAGACTAGAGCTCTGCCACTTTGAGCCATAGCTCTACTTCTAGTTTTAGAGTAGTTAATTGGAGACTTTTCTGCCTGGGCTGACTTCAAACGGTGATCCTCACATCTCAGCCTCATACGTAGCGAGGGTTACAGGTGTGAGCCAGCAGCACCCAGCTGACTGGTTATTTTAAGGATGGAATTGCACAGAATTTCTGACCAGGTTGGCTTTGAACTCTTGATCCTCTGGGTCTCAGTCTCCTGAATAGCTGGGATAACAGGAGTAAGCCATTGGCTCTTGGATCTTCTGTTTCTTAATTTTTTCATTTTTTAAAATTTTATTTTTCATATGTGGGTTTGAAGTCGTGCTTGCATTGTACCACTTGAGCCATACTTCTACATCTGGCTTTTTGATGGTTAGTTGAATATAAAAATCTCATGGACTTCCTGCCTGGGCTAGCTTTGAACTGTGATGCACAGATCTCAGCCTTCTGAGTAGCTAAGATTATAGATGGGAGTCACTTGCACTTGGCTCATTTTTTTTTTTTTATTCTTTTTTTTTTTGGTTGGTCGTGGGGCTTGAACTCTGTGCTTGGGCCCCTTCCCTGCTCAAGGCAAGCACTCTACCACTTGAGCCACAGCATCACTTCCGGTTTTCTGGTGGTTTATTGGAAATAAGAGTCTCACGGACTTTCCTGCCTGGGTTGGCTTTGAACCACGATCCTCAGATCTCAGCCTCCTGAGTAACTAGGATTACAGGTGTGAGCCACTGGCACCCGGCTTTTTTTTTTTTTCTTAAATTACAAAAGTCTTAAATTTTTTGAAGTCTATTTTTCTTCTGTTGCTCTTTCGTTTAGTGTTATTTCTAAGAAGGTTTTGACTAGCCCAGGGTCATAAACATTTATTTCAATTCTTTTTGTAAGAACTAAAAAAATAATTTTGTTCTTTCATTTACTCTAGGTCTATGATCCACTTTGAATTACTATGTGAAGTTCAACCTCTTATTCTTTTTTTTTTTTTCATATTGGTAGCTGTACATCTCAGGACTCTGTTCTTACTCATTGAGTAAGACACTAGACACTCATTATTCTGTGGATCTGTATGTCTGTCCTGAGTACTGATGCCAAACTGTTCTTATTATTGTAGCTGTGTAGTGAATTTTGAAATCAGAAAGTGTGAGGAGGACTTCAACATTTTTCTTATTTTTTCTTTTTTTCTGTGTATGGCTTGAACTTGGGGCCTGGGCACTGTTACTGGAACTAGGGACCTCATGCTTTCTAGACAAGTATCCTGCTAATAGAGCTATATTCCCTTCTTTTTTATTTTAGGGTTTTTTGTCTTTTTTTTTCCCCCCCAGATACAGTCTAGAGCTTTTGCCTAGATTGCCTTGAACCACTACTCCTACTTCACCTCCCCAGTAGCTGGGATTAAAGAGTGAGCTACCACACCTAACTACAACTGGTTTTGTTTAATTATCATACATTAGTTGAACAAGAGGGATTTCATTGTGACATTCCCATATACGCATATAATATAGTGCATCAGTTTCTTCCATTCTTCAAAGTCTTTCTTGCCCCCCCCCCCTTCTTAAAACAGTTTCAACTGGTTTCATTGTCCTAGTTCCATATTCCATATATATGCATATTTAAGTATAAAATACTTCATAATTCATTTTCACTCACCTCCATTTACCTTCCCTATCTTCTGCTGATAGGCACTCTCCAAAAGAGCCTGTTTTTTTTTTTTTTTGTTGTTGTTGTTTTGCCAGTCCTGGGGCTTGAACTCTGGGCCTCAGCACTGTCTCTGAGCTTCTTTTTTGCTCAAGGCTAGCACTCTACCACGTGCCACAGTGCCACTTCTAGATTTTTCTTTTTATGTGATACTGAGAAATCAAACCCAGGTCTTCATGCATGCTAGGCAAGCACTCTACCACTAAACCACATTCCCAACAACTATTTTATTTTTTTTTTAATTTGGCAATGCTTATGTTTAATCTTAGGGCTTTAGCCTTGCTAGACAGGCACTCTGCCACTGAGCCATACCTTCAGCTTTGCTGGCTATTTTGAAGGTGGAGTCTTATGGACTTTTCTGCTTTGTCTGGCTTCAAACTAAGATCATGGATCCCAATTTCTGAGAGACTAGGATTACAGGTGTGAACCACTGCACCTTGCTTGGATTACTTTTGCTATATGGGATCTATCATGCTTCCATATGAATTTTTATACTGGTTCTTCTATTTTTACAAAGAATGCCATTGGGATGTTGATAGCTATTGCATTGACTCTGTAGATTGCTGTATGGCCATTTTTCTGATAATCATTCTCTAATCCATGAGCATAAAAGGTATTTCTATATTCTGTTGTCCTTCCTTCCTTCCTTCCTTCCTTCCTTTCTTCCTTCCTTCCTTCCTTCCTTCCTTCCCTCCTTCCTTCCTTCCTTCCCTCCTTCCTTCCTTCCTTCCTTCCTTTTTTTTTAAAAAAAAAATTTATTCGTATTTTTGCCAGGCCTGGAGTTTGAACTCTGGGCTTGGCCACAGTCCTTGCACTTTTGTACTCAAGTCTAGTGGTTGACCAATTGAGCCATAGCTCCACTTTCAGCTCTTTTTGTAGTTTATTGAAGATAAGAATCTCATGGACTTTCCTGCCTGGGCTGGCTTTGAACCATATTTCTCAGATGTCAGCCTCCTGAGTAGCAAGGATTATAGGTGTGAACCACTGGTGCTTGGCCCTTCACTTTCTTTCATTAAGGTTTTACAGTTTTCATTGTAAAGGTTTTTTGCTTCTTAGTAAAGTTTATACTGGAATTTTGTTTACTTTGAGACTATTGGAAATGTTTCTTTTTCAGCATGTTTGTTGTTGGTATATAGAAAAGCTTCTGATTTTTGAGTGTTGATTTTATGTTCTGCTCTATTGCCAAAACTGTTCTACTAGATCAGGAGTTCTTTTGTTGGAATCTTTAGAATCTTTTAAGTATAAGATCATATCATGCATAACAAGTGACAATTTGACTTCTTCCTTCCTTTGAATTTCTTTTCTTTTTTGTCCCTTATTGCTCTGGTTAGAAATTCCAATACTAGGGGCTGGGAAGGTGGCTCAGTGGTAGAGCGCTTGCCTTGCATGCTCGAGGCCCTGGGTTCGATTCCTCAGCACCACATAAGCAAAAAGAAAAAAAGCCGGAAGTGGTGCTGTGGCTCAAGTGGTAGAGCACTAGCCTTGAGCTGAAGAGCTGAGGGACAGCGCCCAGGCCCAGAGTTCAGGCCCCATGACCGGACCCAAAAAAAAAAAAAAAAAAAAGAAATTCCAATACTATATTAAATAAAGAGTTGGGAGAGTAGAAGACACCTTTGATTTGTTACTGAGTTTAAGTATGTTATTGGTTTGGCCATAGGTTTATAAATATAGCCTTTGTTATGTTGAAGTGTATTCCTTCTGTTCCTAGTTTCTTCAGAACATGTGTGTGTGTGCATGCGAGCATGCATGCATGTGCACCAGTCCAAAGGCTTGAACTCAGGGTTTGGGCACTATCTCTAAGCTTTTTTTTTTAAGTCTACTACAGTAGAGCCACAGCTTCCCTTCTGTCTTTTTTGGTAGGTAATTAGAAATAAGAGTCTCACAGACTTTCCTGTCAGGGTTGACTTCAAATTATGATCCTCTGATGTCACCTTCCTGGTAGCTAGGATTACAGGTATGAGCCACCAGTGTCCAGCCTCTTCAGAGCTTTTATCATAAAAAGATATTGTAGCTGAGTGCCAGTGGCTCATGCCTAGCTACTCAGGAGGCTGAGATCTGAGGATCATGGTTCAAAGCCAGCCTGGGCAGGAAAGTCCATGAGACTCTTATCTCCAATAAACCACCAGAAAACAGGAAGTGGTGCTGTGGCTCAAGTGGTAGAGCGCTAGCCTTAAGCTGAAGAGCTGAGGGACAGTGCCTAGGCCCAGAGTTCAAGCCCCACTACTGACAAAAAAAAAAAAGATGTTGAATTTTGTCAAAAGCCTTTTTATCAATTAAGATGATCATGTGATTTTTTTTTTCTGTGCTGTCTTACATTTATTGATTTCTGCTTAGTCAAACCATCTTTGCATCCCTGGAATGAAACCAACTTTTATGGTACATGATCCTTCAAATGTGTTAGCTGAATTTGATTTGCAAGTGTGTGTGTGTGTGTGTGTGTGTGTGTGTGTGTAAAATTGAGACTGGGTTAAATAGTGCAACGTGCAACTGTTTTTTTTTTTTTTTGCTTACGTGGTGCTGAGGAATCAAACCCAAGGCCCCAAGCATGCAAGGCAAGCACTCTACCACTGAGCCCCACATAGTGCAACTCTTGTCTCAAAAACTTGTCCAGGTGCCAGTGTCTCATGTTTTTATTTCTAGCTACTGGGGAAGCAGAGATCTGGAAGATTGTGCTTTGAGTCCAGCTTGGCCAAAACACATTTGGGTGTAGTGATACCTGTCATCCTAGGTACTTGGGAGGCCAACACTGGGAATTTTGTGGTTCTAGATGAGCTCATGCAAAAGTTTTAGAGACCCCCATCTTAACAGAAACAGCTTTTATGATGGCGTATACTTGTTATCCCAGTTATAGTGGGAAGTGTAAATACTAAGATCGCTGTCTGGGCTGGCTGAGAGAAAAGGGAGAGACCCTGTCCCTAAAACAGACAAAACCCAGAGCAATGTTGAAGAGGATGCCAGACAGACTGTGGGGGGCTAATGAAGAGGATGAATGAGTGTGAATATGGTCAACATAGTTTGCATGTATGAAGATAAAACAATGATACCTGTTGAAACTGTTATAAAAGAGTGTGGGGACAGGGAAGAGTGATGGAGGGGTTGAAGATGATTACCAGGATATATTTTTGTTTTCATGTATGGAAATGTCACAATTAAATGCCTCTTATATGACTAATATATGGTAATGAAAACTTAAAACAGTAAAAAGGGCTGGAGGTATGTGTGTGTGTGTGTGTGTGTATATATAAATGAAAAATATCACAAGTGCGTTTTGTGCCACAAGTCTTATATTTACGTTATCTCATTTAAATTTACTTCAAGATAAGTTATGATCTTCTATTTTTCTCAGGAGCAACTAAGGCTATGAGCCATTACATACAAAGCATATGTCTGAGGTAGTCTGTCTCATAGTCATACTTTCTCTCTGTCTCTATCTGTCTCTCTTCTATTATATCATGATATTTCTTTATCTATTCCCCTGGGCTCACCCAGAATTCACTCTCCGATCTGTGGGTACAGACTTTTATCTGTGAAGTATATTTATTAGGTATACTTAAGGAAATCTTTTTTAAGGAAATAAATTTGAGAAGCACTGCTCTAAAGCTATCACTTTGTCATTTCATCTCTCATCACAGTCTACTTGCCTGTGTTACATCACAGACTCTTAGAGTCAGTTACAGCCTCAATTCAGTAGATGGCATGTGATCATAACAGAAAGAATGTGTCACAGATTGCTTGGGTAGTTCATATTTTCCCTAGATACTAATCTCTTCCCAAAGTTTTTGAAGTTGAACATTAAGTGAGGGCATTTCTGCCTTTTAACTCTTTTTTTTCTGTCAATTTTGCTTTTTTTTAGAGTTTGAATTCTTACACAAATGGAGCATATGGTCCAGCATACTCTGCTGGCCCTGGAGCAAATTCTGCCTCATACTCTGGGGCTTACTATACATCTGGCTATCCTCAGACCAATTACTCTACAGAAGTTCCAAGCACTTACCGTTCACCTGGCAACAGCCCAACTCCTGTCTCTCGTTGGATGTATCCCCAGCAGGACTGTCAGACTGAAGCAGCGCCTCTTAGGGGGCAGGTTCCAGGATATCCTACTTCACAAGTGAGCAGTTTTTTGTTAGTAAAAACTTGGTCTGCATTTTAAATTGTAAACAGTAGAAAGGTATTTATTTACATTATTGCTGATTTAAGAAAACATTCTACATGTTCAGAGACTTATTTAATTTTTTTTAGATATTTAATTTTTTTAGATGTGAAGACAGGGTCTAATATATTGATAATGTCTTTCTTGTAACAGTTTTTGCGGTAAATAGACTGGCTGAGTATCACAATCATTAAAATTTTTATAGCAAAAGAAGTATTTAGTTTTCCATAGTTTGTCTTAACTTTTTTTTGGTATTTGTTAATATTCTATGAATGATACCATGTTTACTTATTTTTAAGAGGAGTTCTAGATATAACATAGGAGGAAATTTGTTTATAGTGCCTGTGAGAAATTATTATACTGCATCCATTACATTTTTGGGGGGGGGGGGGGGTCTCTGGTCATGGGGCCTGAACTCTGGGCCTGGGCACTGTCCTTCAGCTCTTGAGCTCAAGGCTAGCGCTCTACCACTTGAGCCATAGTGCCACTTCTGGTTTTTTTTTCTTTTTGCTTATGTGGTGCTAAGGAGTCGAACCCAGGGCCGCATGCATGCAAGGCAAGTGCTCTACCACTGAGCCACCTTCCCAGCCCCCGTGCATCCATTACATTTTAAGTCAGGGTTTATCACCAGATCTGCTTCTGCAGGCTTGGAGAAATCAGTTCTACTATGGCAACAGATTATGGTTTAAACTATGGTTTAGAGCTGTTAGCATCTCAGGATATGCCTTTCCTAGAGTATTATTAGTTTGTTTGTTTTAGCAATGACCAGCATGTCTGCTCTTCTTAATCTAGAATCCTGGGATGACCCTGCCCCATTATCCTTATGGGGATGGTAATCGAAGTGTTCCACAATCAGGGCCGACTGTACGACCACAAGAGGATACGTGGGCTTCTCCTGGTGCTTATGGGATGGGTGCCCGTTACCCCTGGCCTTCAGCTACGCCCTCAGCACCACCTGGGAATCTCTACATTACTGAAAATGCTTCACCATGGCCTGCTGGTAGCTCTCCTCAACCACCTCCTTCACCACCACCCCAACAGCCAAAGGTAGATTTCTAAATGCTATTATGTTGCTCTCTTGAGTAATTGAGAGCACAACATGGGAAGTTTTTGCATTGATCTGATTAAATGGGAACTAACTGCAAAAGTTGGTGGCTACTACTGATGGTTTTATGTTACTTTTATTGCCTTTTCTTTCCTCATAGACTTTTTTTTAATGAGTCACATTTATTTTATTTTTATTTTTTGCCAGTCCCGGGCCTTGAACTCAGGGCCTGGCACTGTCCCTGAGCTTCTTTTGTTTAAGGCTAACACTCTACCACTTGAGCCACAGTACCACTTCCAGCTTTTTATTTTTTTCTGTTTATGTGGAACAGGAAATGGTGCTGTGCCTCAAGTGGTAGAGTGCTCGCTTTGAGCTGAAGAGCTGAAGGATGGTGCCCTGGCCCAGCATTCAAGACCCATGACCGACAAAAAAAAAAATAAAAAATACACACACACACACACACACACACACACACACACACACACACACACATTCCCATGTTTAAGTGGTACAGAGGAATCGAACACAGGGTTTCACACATGCTAGGCAAACATTACCACTAAATCACATTGCCATAGACTTTTTTTGTGTGTGGGGGGGCGGTCCGGTCATGGGGCTTGAACTCTGGGCCTGAGTGCTGTTCCTGCGCTCTTCAGCTCAAGGCAAGTGCTCTACCACTTGAGCCACAGTGCCACTTCTGGTTTTCTGGTGGTTAATTAGAGATAAGAGTCTCAAATACTTTCCTGCTCAAGCTGGCTTTGAACTGCTATCCTCAGATCTCAGCCTGAGTAGCTAGGACTACAGATGTGAGCCATGGGCGCCTGGCCATAGACTGCTTTTTTTTGTTTGTTTTTTTGTTTTTTGGTTTTTTTTTTGGTTGGTCATGGGGCTTGAACTCTGGGCTTGGGCGCTGTCCCTCAGCTCTTCAGCTCAAGGCTAGCACTCTACCGCTTGAGCCACAGCACTACTTCTGGTTTTTGAGTAGTTTATTGGAGATAAGAGTCTCATGGACTTTCCTGCCCGGGCTGGCTTTGAACCGCGATCCTCACATCTCAGCCTTCTGAGTAGCTAGGATTACAGGCATGAGCCACTGGCGCCTGGCTGGCCATAGACTTTTTTTTTTTTGGGTCCAGTTATGGGGCTTGAACTCTGGGCCTAGGCGTTGTCCTTCAGCTCTTCAGCTCAAGGCTAGCGCTCTACCACTTGAGACATAGCGCCACTTCCAGCTTTTTTTTTTTTTCTTTTTTCTTATGTGGTGCCGAGGAATCGAACCCAGGGCCTCATGCATGCAAGGCAAGTGCTCTACCACTGAGCCACCTTCCCAGCCCCTGGCCATAGACTTTTTAAGAGACATTTTATACTTTTATCTTTTTTTAAAGACAAAGTCTCATTTTCCATTTGTTGTAATATTATCTGAATATGAAACCCCATCAAGGATTGTATTTTACTGCCTCAAATAATCTATAGATGGAAGACAATAACCAATGTCAATGTTACTAGCCTATGGTATAATTTTAAATTAAACCATAGACTTGAATATCATCAATATCTGTTTTGAAGGTATAACTCTGATTTTTTCCTTTTTGTGTCTCCCGCCAATTCCAAGGATTCCTCATATGCCTATAACCAATCAGATCAAAGTATGAGTCGACACAGCTTTCCTTGCCGTGTCCATCAGTATGAATCTGCTGGGACAATGAACAGTGATAATTCAGATCTTTTGGATTCCCAAGTCCAATACAGTGCAGAGCCTCAGCTGTATGGTAATGCCAATAACGAACATCCTAGCAATCAAGATCAGAATAATCTTTCTGAAGAGTGTTTATCTTCAGATGAAGGTACTCCTCCAAGTATTAAAAAAATTATTCACGTGCTGGAAAAGGTTCAGTATCTTGAGCAAGAAGTAGAAGAATTTGTAGGAAAAAAGACAGACAAAGCATACTGGCTTCTGGAAGAAATGCTAACAAAGGAACTTTTAGAACTGGATTCTGTTGAAACTGGGGGACAGGACTCTGTCCGGCAGGCCAGGAAAGAGGCTGTTTGTAAGATCCAGGCCATATTGGAAAAATTAGAAAAAAAAGGATTGTGAAAGGATAAAGTGGAAGAATGAAGGGAAGCCTATTTCAAACTTGGCCAAAGAACTCATGATTTTTGGTTAGTTACTGTCTTATTGAGATGCCTGTTGATGTCAAGAAGCAATACATTCCAACTTTCCTTTGATTTAAAACTTGAAAAACTGGCAAAGAAATGGAAGAACATTTAAGTTGTGAATTTTTTCAGTTTTCAGACGAATGAATGTAATAGGAAACCATGGAATTACCAGTATTGCCAAGTAGACTCATTCCTTCTTAAGAAACCTATGGCTATTTGCAAGCTGCTTCTAACTAATGGGAAGAACATTCACTTTAAGTAAAGGCTGTCAGAAACCCACCAGATGAGACTGGACATAATCTGAGACAAGCAGGTTTTGTTTTTGTAAACTTGTGGATTACTTGTCACATTTGTACATTGTGACTGCTTTCAGCATAGACTTCAAATGTAAATTACAGCTTAGATGTTAGCCTTATTGGACCTCTGCTTTGTTATTTGCAGTTTACAAATACAGTATTATTCTCTACTTCTTAGTACATTTTGTAGTAATATGTTCAATATAATTACTCAAGAGACTATTGACAGTCAGATAGAATGGAAATTCTGAATAAATTGGTAGCCTTTCACCATTTGAATATATTTCAGTGTGTAGTGAGTTCCTGAGGTAAATTGTCTCTCTTTTTGTATAGCTTGTTAAGTTAGTTCTTCCCACTTTACTTTTCATCTTAGTAGAACATGAAATTGAAAATGATATTGACATGAGTGAAAATGTGAACATTTTACTTTTTTATGGTACTTGGATAAAGATCCACTTTAAAATTGCTTTTAAAAAAGTTTTATCTTTGCTGGGCGTCGGTGGCTCATGCCTATAATCCTAGCTACTCAGGAGGCTGAGATCTGAGGATCATGGTTCAAAGCCAGCCCATGCAGGAAAGTCCCTGAGACTCTTCTCTCCAGTAAACCACTAGAAAACTGGAAGTGGCGCTGTAGCTCAAGTGGTAGAGTGCTAGTCTTGAGCTGAAGAGCTGAGGGACAGCGCTAAGACCCAGAGTTCAAGCCCCACAACTGACAAAAAAAAAGTTTATGTTTTCATTGTTGCTGCTTCTATAGAGAGCCTTGTGATTAATAAAATCAAATGCCACAGTGAGTAGGAATGCCTACAAAAAGTAATAAATGTGATTATTTGATAATACTGTTCTCCATGTAAATATTAATTTTACTATTCAGGAATCCCATGGTCCGATTTCAGCTGTTTGTTACTTAAAATAATTGGGGAAAGGAGATTGATGCTCAGGGAATGATCAGCCATAGCCAGAAAGAGAAATTCATTACTTTCTTTGTGTAGAGGTTAGATCTGATTGTTTATTTTATAGGATTTCCTTTTTCATAAATGATGATTATAACTACTGATAATCACTCTAGAGCTAAAATAAGAAAAGGTATTAACTGGGCACTAGTGGCTAACGCCTGTAATCCTAGCTACTCAGGAGGCTGAGATCTGAGGATCAAGGTTCTAAACCAGCCCAGGCAGGAAAGTCCATTAGACTCTTATCTCCAATAAACCATTCAGAAAAATGGAAGTGACGCTGTGGGTCAAGTGGTAGAGTGCTTGCCTTGAGCTGAAGAGCTGAGGGACAGCACCCAGGCCCAGAGTTCAAGCCCCACACTGACAAAAAAGAAGAAAGAAGAAGAAGAAGAAGAAGAAGAGGAAGAAAAGGTATTGAAAGGGTCTTAACTGGTCTTGCTTAGTGTCCGTCCATATGCTGTTTTTGAAGAGAGTTAAGTAAAAGTCTAGTATACAACATCTGCTTTTGGAAAAACAGCTATTGCTTAATAAGGTATTCAAGTGACAATGTATATATTTTGGGTTTTTCCTTGTTTTTAGAATTCCAAGCCTGTTAATGATACTGACTTTATCAACCAGCTCCTCTTTTCATATTAGGTGATGAGAAGAAATGTTCTAAAAATATTGGCTGGGCCTTAACAGCTGTGATGTATGAGTTTCCAAGATAATGTAATAATCTTATTCTGTGATTCTCTTGTTTTGGCTTAATATAGCAAAAAGATTTTCTAAGAAAATTACACAGTTAAATGTGAGAATAAGGAATGGGAGAACCTTAAAGTTATGTTGTTAGTGATTCAATGACTGATTCAGAAGAGAACATGAATACCCAAATGCCAATTGCCACGAGTTCTTGATTTTTATATATGTGTGTGTGTACATGGTATGTACAAACATAAATGTGTGTCTATCTTTTTAAAGTTATTTTTCAAACTTCTGAGATGATTGTAGATTTATAGGAGAATTGTAAAAGTAGTAAATTCCTGTATATTCTTAAGCTATCATCTTGTTTTGATATCTTGCTGTAAAACACTTGTCAAAATCAAGAAATTAACCTTACTACAATGCTATTCTAGTAGAGCTAAAATTAGACATTTTTACTAATGTCCCTTTACTGTTCTGGGATCCCATCCAGAGTCCCATCTTGAACTAAGTTGTCATGTCTCTTGTTTTGTCTTCCAGTCTGTGATAGTATGTTATACATAACAGGATGTGTAAAAGTGTTTCTGGTGTTGTTAATCTTGATCGCGATGCTAAGGTGGTGTTTGCTTGGATTTTCTATTGTATGCTTACTATGTTTTCCTTTATAATTACTAAATATTTGCTAGATACTTTGAGACTATGCAGCTTCCTGTTTCTGCTTACACTTCTGCTAACTACTTTTATTAATTGGCAGATCTTGCTTGTGGCATTTAAAACAGTGGTATTCTGATAGTGATTTTCTATTTTCCTTATACTTAATAATTGGAATTCTTCTATAAGGAAGAGTTGTTGTTGCTTCTGGATTTATATTTTTAATTATAATAAGATATATTCTGGATAGGTACAAACTTAGAACTTAAAAAATGCAAGTCAAATTAAAATGACTCCAAATAACCATGTCAAAGAATACTAAGTAACCTGTCTGAGAAAATGTAGTGAATTTAAGAAGGAAAATTGTATTATTGTGAACTGGTTTACCTTTTGACTTCAAACTGAATTTTTTTTTTGAAACTTCACATCTGGACTTTTTAAAAGTGTCAAAATTTATATTACTTTGGGGGATCATTTGTGTCAACATCTTGAATAAAGCTACCCAGAACTGGCATGATAAACCCAGCGATGGTTTCTTTGTAATAAGCCACTGTTGTGCCAAGTATAAATACAGTCCCTAGTGCATCGGCTATGTTTGTTTTCACCTGTTGGTACAGAATTATTTTAGCTTTAAAAAAATGATAGGGTTTGAAGATGTGCTTTAGTTGTTTTACATAAATAAAAGGAAAGAAGAATTTTTAAATGTTGAAGAGCCTAAAATTCTAGCTACTTAGGAGGCAGAATTGTGAGAATTGTGGTTGAAAGCTACTCAGGCATAAAAATAAGCTGGAATTGAAGGTGTGGTTCAATTGGTAGAGCACCAGCCCTAAGTGACAGAAAAAGCCCAGTGAGTACACATAGCCCTGAACTTAAGTCCTAGTACTACCCCCCACAAAAAAGGGGAAGAATATAGATTAAGATGGTATTTAACAAAAAAATTGGAGAGAAGTGGGTAGTTGATGGAGTTTTTCTTTTTCATCTTTAATTTTTTTCAGTACGAGTTTGCCTTAATTCATAGAAGTTGTAAGTTTAATTAATCAGTTCTGTAAAAAGCATCATTCTGATCCCAATCTTATTTTTCCTTTTCTAGAGACAACCACTTTCAGTTGTAAAATGTGCTGGGTGCTGGCTGCTGTAATCCTAGCTATTCAGGAGACAGAGATCTGAGGATTACAGTTGGAAGCCAGCCTGGCTACAAAAGTCCCCTGAGACTCTTATCTCCAGTAAACCACTTGAAAACTGGAAGTGGTGCTATGGGTCAAGTGGTAGAGTGCTATAACCTTAAGCACAAAGAGGCTCAGGGACAGCACCCAGGCCCTGAGTTCAAGCCCTGCAACTGACAGAAAACAAAACAAAACCTTAATTGTAAAATGTATATTTTAAAATTGTATATTTAAAATTGTAAAATGTATATGTTAAAATTAAATTTTAAATGGACATACATTAATAGTACTAATAGAATGAGGACATTTCCTTGTGATAATTCCAAGCGTTTATATAGTATACTTTGAACAGTTTCACCTCTTCCGTATAAGGGCACTTGCTTCCCCTTGTTCACATTGGAGTTTGAACTCAGGAGTCTCACACTTGATAGGTTGCACTATACCACGTATACTCTAGTCCCTCTCCTTATTTATAAATAACATAGTATGCTTTTTCCTTTTTCAAAGTTATTCTTGTTTTTATTTCATTTTCATTTTTTATTGTTTGTTTTGGGGAGATAGTATCCTACTATGTAGGCTGCCATAGAGCTGGCAATCCTGTGCCTCTTGATTGTTAGGATTATAAGCATGTGCTACCACAACTAGCTGATTTTCCATAGATTTTTCTACTGTAGGTTTTTGTTTTTTGTTTGTTTTGTCTTTTTTGCCGGTTGTGGGGTCTGAACTCTGAGCCTGGGCGCTGTCCCGCACCTTTTTAGCTCAAGGCTAGTGCTCTACCACTTGAGCGCCTACTTTTTCTTCTTGTACAGTGCTGAGGAATCAAACTCAGAGCCTCATGCATGCAAGGCAAACACTCTACCATTGAGCCACCTTCCTAGCCCAGTTGTAGGTGTTTTTTTTTTGTCGGTCATGGGGCTTGAACTCTGGGCCTGGGTCCTGTCCCTGCGCTCTTCAGCTCAAGGCGAGCACTCTACTGCTTAAGCCACAGTGCCACTTCCAGTTTTCTAGTGGTTTATTGGAGATAAGAGTCTCACAGACTTAACTTCCTGGGCTGGCATTGAACCGTGTTCCTCAGATCTCAGCCTCCTGAGTAGCTAGGATTACAGGCGAGAGCCACTGGCGCCTGGCAATTGTCGGTATTTTTAACTGATTTTTTTTTTTTATAGAGCATGAAAATTGAGACTTGACTCTGTTCCTACCACACAGCATCTCAATCCTATCCTCCTCACTTCTCAATAAATCAAATGGTAATTTCTATAAAAATGATGACCAGAGCTCACCTTGTAATAAACTGATTTATTTTCCTGAACAAGTATTTTTTTTCTTCCTGTATTTAATCATTTATCTTATTTTGTTCACGTATGCACTGATCACTACTTTGACCTTAACCCTTCGATTAGTTGCCCAAGTCTTCTGCCATGATGCTCAAGACATACATTTTATTAATTTCTAATTCCGAAGGAAGTCTGTCCTGGAGCCTTGACTGGAGGAATGGACTGTTTTGGTGCACATTGTCCTGAAAATTTTTCTCATCTAACACTAGGGATTCCCTCCCCTCTCCCCATTTTTTTAAATTCTTTTTTTAGGTTTTCTGTGTGTCCTGGGTCTTTTTCATTTTGGTAGAGCATTATTCTCTAAGAGCTTCCTGGAAAAAAGTGCATGAGAAATTTGCTTTTTGTTGTTGTCAGTCATGGGGCTTGAACTCTGGGCCTGAGCGTTGTCCCTGATCTTTTTTGCTCAAGGCTAGTGCTCTACCATTTGAGCCAGAGCTCCCATTCCAGCTTTTTGGTGACTAATTGGAGAGACAAGTCTCACAGACTTTACTGCTGAGTCTGGT